GGGGGGGGGGGGGGGGGTGCTACAGGGGGCTTTACAGTTAAGAATATGTTGTTGCGGAATATTCTATTAGTATAACTATCAGGACTTCAAGGGGCATAGTGAGTATCGAACATAGTCGCGCTTGTCACGATTCCTCAGATCCTGCCTCTGCTCCTGGGCTTCAGTTGTAAACAATACAAGAAGCCCGCATGCTAGAATTAGAACAAGGTGAAGCGTGATCGTGAAACTCCTGATGAGGGAGCGGCTCACGATGATGATGCTGATTGATGGCTCTGCTCATAACTAGTAACAAGTATGTTGGCCAAATTACAAGGCGATCCTGCACATCTCAGCAAACGCATACCCCACCATGCTAAGATTGAAAGCCCTTTAGCGGCAACAACCAAAACCATTACACCGGACAAAAGCACAGGTGCCATGGATTGTACGGCAATCAGCTCTCATGTTAGAAAAGCCCAGAACCTTAAACCCCGAAGCCCTAAAGCCCAAAACCCCAAGCCCAGAAACCTTAAACCCCAAAACCCTGCACCCTAAACCCTAAACCCCACACCCTAAACAAAATCATCAAGCTCCTTAGCCTTCGCCACAGCTGCGGCGACCTGTTCGTTGGCCTTCTCGGCCGCAATTTCTTTGGCGGCCTCGGATTCGTCATATTAGGCTTTAGGGTTTAGGGTTCAGGGTTTAGGGTTCATGATTTGGAGTGTCATGGCTCCGGGCACTTGATGGTACTTGCCTTGGTGGAGCGGGGTCCTGCCGGCCTTTCGGGCTTGTCGTTGTTTAAAGGGCAGAAAGGCCTAAGAAAACGCCTTGCCCAGAACCCTAAAGCCTATAAAACCTAAACCCCAAAACCGAAAGCCTCAACACCCTGACCATCACAAGGGCGGAAGCCCTGTGCACGCGGTGGGGCTCGAGGCCTTTGGTCTTTCATCTCAAACCAGGCCATGAGAGTTTCAATAAGCTTTTGGGGGATAGCCTGTAGAGAAGACCTGCATCGGAACCCAAAAGAAACATAGAAATACTAGTACCTGGTACATGCTAGTACTATTACTGATGATTCAGATCTCTCTCTATATGAAGTTGAGGCTGCTCCCTACATCGGCCAACCATGTGCCAATACTGCGCAAGATGCATCGTTCCCACACTGGCGGCTAGTCAGCACTCGTACACATGCATTACGAACGCATTTGGTCCGGGAAATGCTGAAACTTTATCGTGGGATGATCTGCTGCTTTACTACGATAGCCAGCTCGAGAAAGGTATACAAGGGTAGGACGCAGACACGAAACAAACTGTGTTAGTTACTTAGTTACATTGTCCGACACTGAGACTCTGTATGTGCATGCAGGCACAACAAACTTTGGCTCTGAATGCCACTCACTATGTGGTATGGTGCTGCTGGTAATGGCTATGATAACGATGATGATGATGATGATGATGATGGTGATGCGAACTTTGATGCAGATGGTGACTGTACAAGCATACAATAATTCATCTGCAAGTTTGCTGGAGTCGGAAACTGAGTTAGGCATGTTTATAGCGCCAGGGCCTCAGTTAACAAGTATGATAGAACTTTGAGGTGTGTTTTTGATTATATTTAATATAATATGATATAATATAATATAATATAATATAATATAATATAATATAATATAATATGATAATATAGTATATTATATGTTACAATATGATATAATAGTATACATAATATATTATATATTATAATATAATATAACAGTATATAAATTTTTTAAATGTATATATATATATATATGCTCATAAGCAAGCAAGTTTACGTTCAGTTGCACAGAAGGTTATAAAGGCCCTGAAAAGCCCCTCGTCCACAAACGCACCTAAGTCTATCCCAGACGGTTCATAGACACTACTATTGTGGAATTGGGTCCCCCAACCCCATGATTATCTCGGGCCGCTAAACCCCGAACCTTAACGCCTCAACCCTAAACCCACCTTGCAGAAGCTTTGACCCTAAACCCTAAACCCTGGAACCCCGAACCCTGAAACCCTAAACCCTGAAATCCTAAACCTTAACTAAACCCTGAACCCTGAAACCCTGGAGCCCTAAACCCTGTCCTTTTAATATAAAGGAACCCCCAGTATAGTATAGGCAATTATTAAAGCCCCTACATTACAGAAGGGTTGACCCTAAACCCTGAACCCTAAACCCTGAAACCCTAAACCCTAAACCCTAAAACCCTAAACCCTAAACCCTAAAACCCTAAACCCTAAACCCTATACCCAAACCCTAAACCCTAAACCCAGCCACAACCCGAAACCCTAAACCCTAAAACCCTAAACCCTGAAACCCTGAAACCCCTAAACCCCTACACCCTAAACCCTGGAACCCTAAACCCTAAACCCTATACCCAAACCCTAAACCCTAAACCCTGAAACCCTGAAACCCTGAAACACTAAACCCTGAAACCCTAAACCCTAAAACCCTAAACCCTGAGACCCTAAACCCTGA